GATTATCATTTGTAACACCGATTTCTGGCATTCTCATACCATTGAAGTTCGGCTGGGAGGAGGAGGACTCCTGGAATGATTCTTCGCCGCCCGGCGAAGAATGTTCGCCGCTCGCTGGATGATCATCCATTGGTGAATTCGAGAAAAGGAGTCCATTGGTGAAAGTTCTGAGGTTCGCCGTTCGCGCAATGGCACTGGTCCGTCGAAGCTTTGAAATTTGAAGAGAGGTGGCATGAGCTGCGAGGTCATTGGTGCTGCCCGACTCATCGGACGTGACGCATAGTATGCGGGCACCCCAGGAACTGCTTTACTAGTAGTACAAGAGTATACTGCCGCGATGCTTTCCGCGAATGATTGAAACGGGGGGACCAGATGGGGTTTGCGATTGCTACCCTGCCGTTTTGAATCCCGCCAGCGCGCTAGAGAACAAAACACGGTCACCCTAAACGGTATGCTTTTTGGACGGTCTGGTGTGCATGCATGTGCTTCGATTCACGCCACCTAACCGGTGGCCGGCGGCGGTCAGAAAGCAAGTTCAACGATCGAAGTTCAAGTGGAGAAGAAATCTACAGGCAGGAAATGCTGGGGAAATGTGCGGTTGCTGCTGTGTCAGACTTAGATTGCGTCTTGACGATCTAAGATGAGGCATTTTTTCCAAGTTTGGAAGCAACATATAAGAATGCCTGATCTTAGATGTCATTAGAAAATGCCTGATTTTTGTTGCGAGTCGCTCGTGCAATGCTCGCGTTGCAGTTCCAGTGCGCTGATGATTTGTTGATTTGTACATGTATGCGTTTCAAAGGCCAACCTTGCCGAGTGAAGGAAAAACGCGGGGAGCGGAGTACGAGTCATCCGTTTTTGGCAAGAATCGGCGATTCCCCTCTCCCATTGGAAAAGGAGGTCCTACGTGTCATGTAGACAATATGCAGGAAGCTTCGTCCTATTTCTTATTGGCTGGAGAGTGACGTAATGCTTGCATCACAGAACTGACGGCGATTGAGAGAAGGTCCTCTTTGTCTGGGGTTTCTTCTCGGTTGAATCTGTACTCACGAGCGGGTCAACTTCCGGTTCCTCTCCTGAAGCGAAACCGAACGAACAGGGTGGTACGACTCGCTTCAGCGTCGACACGACACGGGTACAGTAGTGCGCAAGTGTATACACGGACTTCTACAAACGACGTTCATATTTAAAGGACGTTTGTGATGAGTATTAAAGCTCGTGTCTGATATTTACAAGCATTTAACACTTGGTTGGCTACGCACGTCCGTGATTGGTTACGAAAAAACGCTACCCCAGCTCATCACAGATTTTGGGATTCGCCTACAGTAAAACATCACGGAGCCCAACCAAGTCTTAAACTCAACCAAGTGTAAAACGGAGAAAAATATGAGACGCGAGCTTTAAGGGTACTTCCCTTCTCTCGCCTTTCAGTTTCCTTGCGTACTAAGAGTCGTCATACCACAAGGTACTCAGCTGTACCGCTTAGAATGGGGCGCGCGAGGAGATTGTGAAAGCCGTACAATCAGTAGCAGTTTCACTACAATGATTGTGGAACATACAACAGGTACTCGAATTACCGCGCCAGAAACAGCTCCAATCCAGTACCCACGGTAACACTCTCTTCCCATTTCCCAGTTAGTTACCAGTTATCCTAACAAATCACACCCACAAACTGCTGAAGCCATGACTCATTTCCGTCACACACAAAATATGCTACCCCCTATTGCGTCTCATCACACCCACCACTAGATTCCCATCCTAAAGGTAGAGCTGTCCAATCCCAAGCATCCCCCCCCTCCTTCAGCATTACACTCTCATCGGTCACCCACAAGGGGGAACTACCCTCGCTTTTCTCCTCCGCAGCAGCATCACCACCCTTTTCGCCTATCTCATCCTTCACAACCCTATGATGAACCATTGTTGCCAGGAGATGTGCAATGGTGGAGCGCGATTGAGGGGTGTGAACGGCCGGAGCAGGAGAAATAGCCACAAAATTCCGATGCGGGGTTTCACTCATAGCACTCCGAGTTTGTTCCACCGCTCCCTGAGATGCGGATTTCTGCCTGGGAGATCCTCTCCCATGCAAGTCGCTCTCCCGAGGCAATCCCTTTGCTTGCTCCATCTCTTGCTGGCAATCAGCTTCCTGCTGCTGCTCAGCTGTTTCTTCAGATAAACGGGGTGTCACCACCCATGCGCCATGGCTCAGCGACTCACCTCCTGCCATTTCACCCTTCAGAGTGCCACGCGGCTTTCCAAGTGGATGAAACGGTGACTCGGCTGCAGCTGCAACCCTCTCAGCCATTCGAAGCATAGAACCACCACTAGAGTTATGTCGACGCGAAACGATATCCACAGGGCTGTACGAAGGGAGGGGAACCTGCACGGTCTTCAGCTGCATTTGCGCTTTCTGAGGTGCCTCGAAAACTTCTGCTGAGACTCCAGGAAGGGGAATCTGCAGAGTCTCTAGTGGCGTTTCCGGTCTGCAGTGTAACCATCCTCCCATGCCTGACTCAACACCTGAGCCTTCAATCACTATTCTGGGGTTACGCTGACCCGCTGCCGAATCCGGCTCGCCGGGCAGCGGGAAATTCGTCTTTGCTTTGGGACCTCGCAGCTCCCGGGCAGCTTTGTCAAAGGCACGGGCAGCAGCTTCGGGCGAGGAGAACGTTCCGAGCCACCGGCGAATGTTCCGGGCGGCATCTTCTATCTCCGCCACCCATTTTCCAGGACCCCTCTGCCTCACTCCCCTGTATTTCCGCACAGGTGATTGCTGCGGCTCCTGTTCCTTTGGCGCTGTCCCCCCTCCCTCTTGAGCACACTGTATCGTCCCCTCCTCTGCTTTGCAGAGACGAGGAGAATGGGTACCACCGACCCTAAAGATACACGCACTAGAAGCACTCTCCTCAGGAGCATAGTGCGCAGCATGTGGAATTTCATGGTTTGGGCCAGCGGAGCCATCCCCAGGGCTCAATGATTGCTGGCTGGTGCCAGCGCCAGCAACAGCAGCAGCGCCAGCAGGAGTAGCTGTGGCGGCGGCAGTAGCAGCAGCAGCCAAGGGCATGAATGACCTGAGAATCCGCTGCAGGAATTCTGCATCAGGTCCCTCTGAACTACCAGACGCCCTTGCAGCTGTCAAATACTGCTTCAATACCTTCTGGACGGCAGATACTGTGTGCTCCAAAGCATTACTCCTGTCACAGGCTTCAGCAGAGGCAGAAGCAGCAGCAGCGGCTTCACTACATGCGCGACGAAGGAGTTCCTGCAGGGCTGCGCAGAGCAACGCCAGCAGCGCCACCTGTGTGTGCTCCAGTTGTGTGCTGTGATCGGCAAAGGCACCAGCGGTTTCCCCCAGGAGAGCATGGCAAGCTGTCACAGCATGGGGAGACAGCGCCAGGCCCCCAAACACATTGAGCTGCTGCTGCTTCTGCTGCTGCTGCTGCTGGTACTGCTGCTCCTGGTACCGCTGCTGCAGCAATTGAACATCGTCACGACTCCACACAGCTGCCTCCGGAGCCAACCAATCATCGTCCAGGCTCTTGCACTCGCCTTTGCGCTGTAACGTATCACTCGTCGATTCAAATTTCCAGAATTCCTCTCCATGATGCCCCCAAGATTCCAGGCTCCTGCACTCGCCTTCGCCTCGAACGCGCTTCTTGCCACGATGCTGGGGCTGCGGCGTTGCTGCTGCTACGTCCTGCCGCCCTTCACGACAGCCTTCGCAAAGAAATGAAGCAGCGGCAGCAGCGGAGGCGTGTTGCTGACTCATCCAGCTCACGCATTCGCAGATCGTGTTCCATGGCCGTTTCCCCCCAACGACCCCCTCCGCGTGCTCAGTTCCTGCTGGTCCCATACGCTCTAGAATGCCCCCCGCGCTGCGTCTCCTCTTTCCTTCAGCCGTGGTCATGCCGTCTGCCAGACGAATGGTTGCGAGCGTGGCGATGGTTGAGTTAAGGCCGGAGCTCGTCTTAGAACTACGGAATTCCTCGATACGAGGCTCACTCTTCACCATGAAAGCCCTCGATCGGAAAGTGAAGAGGATTTTGAGCTTTAAGGAACTGGCGCTACCAAATGCACGTGCGGAAACGGACAAGGCGATTGCGATTGAACTTCGGGGTTTCGCTACCAAATACACGTGCGGAATTTGACGAGGAGTTTGGGAAGTACGCGTGCAGACTACTGCTAGTTTTTGCTGTTTGGACTCAGATTTCTAGCTGTCGGAGCTTCCTAAAGGAATCCCCTGCGTTACAGTCGGTCCGTCTCGATCACGCAAATGTGAGAGTACTAAACGCGCTTGATTTTACGTTCACGTTTTATCTTGCGTTGCATGAAAAAGGGCGCTTCGAACTTGCTTTCCGTTCTGTGTGAACTTCTAATCTTGTTTCAGAACCTAGGAAGGAATGGAATGGTGGGTTGGAAATGGAATGGAATTGGCCTGGCTTCTGAGATTTATTCCCAAGTGCAGTGAGGGGGGTGGGGAGAGGAGAATTTGCGCGCGTCTCGGCGAAAGCGATGATCTGCTTGGCGAAGATGTTTCACGCGTTAGCGAAGCTGCCAGCTGGTGTCTGGTCGTTGACTGCCAGCTACCACCACATTCTGGGGCAAGACCGTCAGTGTGCCCCAGCTGTCATTAGTCCCTTCGAGTTGACGAAGGGTTTACGAGGTCAGCGTGCGGTCCACGAGATCGCGAGCGAACAGCGATGGCACTGTGGAGGGCACATTGCGTTTCCGCACCCGCTGCGAAGGTCTCATTGAGCGGCAAAACTGACGGCTTGACGCTATTACCTGTTACTGAAAGCCGGATTGACCGATTGTTGAGCATCCACGTGTCCACCACTCCAAACTACCTGGTCAGCGAAAGTCGAAGCAGGTATAATGCATCTGCAAATCACAGTGGAGGAAGTGTACAGTGAGTTGCACCGAGAATCACAGTTCAAGTAATAACAGTAAAGAAACAAACACTTACAAGGCTTCGAGAATCTTCACATATAAAAATATAATTACTACATGATGTCGTCCAGGTCGTCCGCCAACATAGGCTTAACGGTCAAGCAGTCCATCTTCATCACACATTCCGTCTTCACATCGGCCACTGGCGAACGAATCAAATCCATGCGGCATCCAATATCCCTCGCCTTCCCCGCAGAGCACAGTGTCTCGTACCGTGTCCTCAGCCGCTTTCCTGCCCAATTCAGATTCCACCGAGCCTGACGCACAAACGTCCGGGCCTCCCCCAAAAGCACCTTCAAATCCTCCAAATCCTCCTTAGTCACATTCACCAGCCGATCCTCGTAAAAATATTTACGACAATCGGGAACACTGGAGCACTTCCGCACCGTCAGCGTCTCAAACTCCTCGTCCAATGGCTGCTTGGCACCTGGCCGCAGCTGGTGCAGAAAATAACTCACGCCAGCCTGGACCGCCATGAAATAATACCGCGGGTTGAATGTGTTATGCGGCATTATCTCCAAAACGACGGAGCGGTTTCGAGCAAAAGCGGCGGCGCTTGTGAGGCCGGCTCCATGCACCCCCACGATGACCTCTGCGTTGAGAACCGCTTCGTACTGCTGGCGGAAGGACAGGCGCGTGAAATCCGCCCGGCGAATCTGAGGAATAAGGGTTGGGGGCGGAGGCGGGGGAAAGGGGGAAAGGGCCGGGAGGAGGAGTGGAGAGAAGGAAGGGGGTGAGTGTGTTGAGGGGGGAGATTAGGCAAGGGATGAGCGTGTTGACGGGAGGGGGATGCTTGTGAGGCTGGCTCCATGCACCCCCACGATGACCTCTGCGTTGAGAACTGCTTCATACTGCTGGCGGAAGGAGAGGCGCGTGAAATCCGCCCTGCGAATCTGAGAGATAGGAGGGGAGGAGACGGAAGGTGGGGGAGGGAGGAAAGGAGAGGAGAGGCAAGGAATTTATTGTACTGCTGGCGGAAATACAGGCGCGTGAAATCTGCCCCGAGGGATGGGAGGGGGGAAGGGGGAGGATGTGGGGAGGGGTGGAGAGGTAAGGGATTGGTTGCACTATTGGTGGAAGGAGAGGAGTGAAATCTGCCTTGCGGTTTGAGGGATGGTGGAATGGTGGTGGAGAGAAGGGGAGGGAGGGCATGTGAAGGGGAGGCAACAGCATTGCTGTACCATCAGCAACCGAGATTCGAAACGTTTAAAAACGCTAAGGCAATGGCAATGGCAACGTAAGGGATTTTATCAGAAGCTTTGCCTGGACTGGATTTGCTCACCTTAAAGCCCATGTCATAAAAGAGATCGTACAGTGCTCCGTCACTCTCATCATCAAGAATTCTCCGCCCGCCCACGTTCGTCCTGTTCCTCCGAATGAATAGTAGCTGCACGCGTGGCTTGGCGCGGGCACTGGGGCTGTCGCCAAGTGGCAATGGCGGATTGGGCAGCCCGAGGGACGACCCAAGGTGGGCTTTAAACATCTCGGCTTCTGAAGGGCCACCTGGGTAGGTTATGGCTTTAAGTTTCCCCGGGATGACCACCTTTGCGAAGCACAGAGGCCGGGTTTCCGAGGCTGCTTCAAATGCTGGCTCGAATTCAACCAGCCCTCCGGCAAGAGACTCTGTGCCTAGAAACCTGTTCAAACCCATCCAAAATCAACGAAGCCCATCCAAACCCATCCAGACCCATCCAAACGCATTCACAGAGATTTGAGGAAAGGGGAAACAAAACAACAAGAACTCCAAGCTCAACAAGGCCACTCGCAAGAGGCTCTGTGCCAGAAAACCTATCCGAACCCATCCAAATCTATCCAATGAGGGATCCCAGAAGTGGGGAAAAAAACAAGATATAATTACCAACTCGCCAAGGCTTCGTTCTAGAGGCTCTGTACCACGAAACCCATCCAGACCCATCCAAATTCATCCAAACTTGTCCAAGGATCAACATCACTGCCACCCCCGCAGCTGCCAGCCCTAGCAGCTGCCTCACTGCCTACTCGTATCACAGCAAGAGCCTCACATCACGACTCAAGCTGCCTACCCGTGCCTCGTAAGATCACTCCTCACCTCCTAGCGGCCATGCTGTCTTTCTTGAGAGTTGTCTCCCCTAGCACCGGCGCCACCACCAGCCCCAGCAGCTGCCAGCCCCAGCAGCTGCCACACCACCTGACAGCTAGAGCCTAAGTGCCTCACGCCCCGTGTGTTAGAGCTAGCAGAAATACTTTCTTGAGGCCATGCTGGCCTTGTTGAGCGCCGTCTCTCCTAGCATCGGCACCATCCCCAGTCACAGCAGCTGCTTCACTACCTACCTACCCATGTCACAGCAAGATCCCTTGCAGCACACCTCACCTCCTGGCGGCCATGCTGGCCTTCTTGAGCGCCGTCTCCCCCAGCACCGGCGCCACCGCCAGCCCCAGCAGCTGCCAGCCCCAGCAGCTGCCTCACTTCCTACCTACCCATGCCAGATCTAGAGCCGTGCAGTGAGCCACTAAGCAGCATTTCACTCATGCGACACACCAAGCCCCTCACCTCCTAGCGGCCATGCTGTCCTTCTTGAGCGCCGTCTCTCCTAGCACCGGCGCCACTGCCAGCCCCAGCAGCTGCCTCACGATCAGTGATACGGCTAGGAGCCTAAGTGCCTCACGCCACCTGGGTTAGAGCTAGCAGAAATACCTTCTTGCGGCCATGCTGGCCTTTTTCAGAGCCGTTTCTCCCAGCATCGGTGCCACTGCCAGCCCCAGCAGCTGCCGCAACACCACCACGTGCCAGCTGTCCTTGCCCGCTGCTTGCACGCTGTTGAGGGGATTGAAGGGGAAATGGAAAGCAAGGATACATAAGAAGAGGCGGGTAATGTATATGCTTCAGTTCAGAACCCCAGCAACACTACTACCATCCCCCCAATAATCTGCTGCTTCAAAGCCAGGCATTCTCAACCCTAAAGCAGCGATGATTACAGAAAACACATGCAAAATTTCCTCCTTACTATTGACTATAAGGACCACCTGTAAAACGCTCCACGTCGGCAATTAGGCTGAGCAGTATTGGTGCGTATTGGTGCTTATTAGCTGAAACAGAATGCTTGCCTAAAAGAAACACTTACGCTTGCAGCAGCTGGGGGGCGCGTGGGAACATGAAGCGATCCACTGGGTGGGGTAAGGCTGGCTTAGAAGCGTTGTTGATTAGAAGAAGCTGACCCACTTTGCCTGGCGGAAGGAGGAAAGGGAAAGAACGGGCGAGGATGGTAGAAGCAAGGGCAGCGAGCGGAAGCTTAGAAAAGCAAGACCCACCATTCGCGGAAAAAAAAGAGCATGAAACCTGCTGAAAATGCAGCGGTAATAACAGTTGAACTGTCGCATAACCTGTTCTGCAACTAGGGGTTTCAAATAGGAAGCGGTAAGAAGAGACAACTGCTTGGGAACTTGAAGTAAAGAAAAGATGAAAGATGGAGGAGGGAGAGGAGAAGGAGGGGTGAGGAAAGGGGGGAGGAAAGGGGGGAGGATCGAGAAGAGGGGAGGGATGGGGGATGGATGGGATGGGAAGGATGGACATAGGGTGACTGATTACAGTGATGATCACTGCAGACAGCAAATCTGTACAGAACCTGTGCAAGAAAATTAGATCCGTACCGAAGAATGAGGCAATGTTGAGGCAATCCGCGTCAAGAGGCTGGAGGTACGTCATGCCTTTCCGCCACTCTATGCGCTCTCTCCCCTTGCGCCACCTGGCAGAGAGGCAAGGAAGAGGGGGAAGGAGGGCGGGACAGGAAACAAGGGGTTGGTAAGATGCGATGTTGAGGCAATCCGCGTCAAGAGGCTGCAGGTACGTCGTGCCTTTTCACCACTCTATGCTGTCCCGGCCCTTGCGCCACCTGCCAGGGAGGGACGAGGGGGTTGTGGGGGAAGGGAGGCGGAAGAGGTACGGAGGGAATGGGGGGGAAGGAAGAGAGGGGAGGAGAGATGGCTGCAGGTACGTCGTGCCTGCTCGCCACTCCATGCGCTCTCTCCTTGCGCCACCTGCCAGGGAGGTGAGGAAGGGAAACGAGGGAGGGGGGAAGGAGGGAAGGAGTTAAGGAGAGAAAGAATGATGCGCTGTTGAGACAATCCGAGTTTAAAGGCTGCAGGCACGTCGTGCCTGCTTGAACGTACTCTCTCTCCTAGCGCCACCTGTCAGGGAGGGATGCGCGTGGTGCAAGGGGAAACACTGGGAACAAACTAATAGGAGAGGAGAGGCTGCAGGCACGTCGTGCCTGCTCGAATCTGCTCCCTCTCCTAGCGCCACCTGCCAGGGGGATGGTATCCTAATCACACACGCCATGTTTCCCGACAGCTTACCCCTTGTCGCGCTGTCCAATCCCGTCTATCGGCGCCTCCTTTAAGGTGATCCGTAAAATCCGGCGGAATTTATCCAATCGGCGACACGTCACCGGCACGAGAGGGTTTTCCTCCTGCAGCAGCCGCTGCCGCCGCCGCTTTTCGCGGGCAGTCTCGTTTCCAGCGCCGTTCTCCGCCGCCTCCGGGAGCGGCGCGCGGATGCAGGGCTGCGACCCGAAATCCCCGACAAGAGCGGATCCGTTGTAGCACACGTTGTGGCAGACGCAGAGCGACTGCCAGCAGCAGAACGAGTTGCGGACGGTGTAGCAGCTGCAGCCCGCGGGTTTCTCCGCGGACGCTGCGGCGGAGGCGGAAGCGGAAGAGGCGGAGGCGGAGAGCGTGGCGGAATAGGCGGAGGCGGAACGGCGGGAAGCGGCGGGGGAGATGGATCGTGACGCGGAAACTCGCGATTCCCCCCTCCGCGAGCGCGGATCGGGACGCAAGCCGGTTCTCCCCGCGCCCCTCCCTCCGCCTCTTCCCCCGGTCCTTTCCCGAGCAGGCTCGGCGGAAGGAAGAGAGGAGAGAAGGAGGAGTAAGGGAATAATAACGGCGACCAGAAAGACAATGCGAGGTGTACTAGCCATGGATTCCGGGCTGATCGATCACAGCGCCAATGATTAGCGAAAAAATGCCACCAGAAAGGCAGCCTCTGATTCGTAAATTTTCAGCTGCCGCTTGAAATGTTGGCGAGGTGGGAGCAAATTTGCAAGTCCGCTGCTCAATATCCGGCCTCGGATTCCGAACGGCTGGCGAAAATGCGGAGGCGGGATGAAGCGGAGAGCGAGAAATGAGAGCAGTACGAAACGGAAGCAGAAGTTTGTCGCTCAGCCTATCAATGCCTCGCAACTATTCTCCTAGAACGTCCATGGATTGAAGACGGCCAATGTTCAGGCGTTCTCTAGCGTGCAGTGTCACCTAGTGACCAGGTCTGTCAGCTCCAGCTGATATTGCCAAGGTCGAAAATGGGCGCGGATTTCCCAAGAAGAGACTGGTGATGGGGAAAAGGGGCTTTGCTGCGGGGAGATGGGGAGGAGGGGATGTGGTGTGGGGGGAATTGATGATGTGCGAGTGCGACGAACTCAATACGGTTTAGTGAGATGGTTTTCGTGCTAGAGCGGTCGTTTCAGAATATCCAACGGTTGGTTAGGCTCAATGCGAACACAACGAAGAAGCAGGCTCGGCATCACCAAGACTGCATGCAGGTGGTGTGGCAAAAAAAATACAATTGCAAGGGTGTAAGGAATTTTGTGCTCGCCGCCCGTGCTTCACATCGCAGATCCGCACCGTCCGTTCGAGCTCGTCACCGACGCAAGTGACATCGCCGTGGGAGCTGTATTGTTGCAGGACTTCGGGAACGGCCTCCAGCCAATCGTGTACGAGTCCCGCAAGCTGCACCCGCCCGAACGCAACTACCCGATACACGACCGCGAAATGCTGGCGATCGTGCACGCGTTCAAAGTGTGGCGATGCTACATGACTGGCGCCGATGTGAGAGTACGGACAGATCACCGATTGCTACAGTACCTCCGCGCCCAACCGAATCTCAACCCGCGTCAGATCCGCTGGTTGGACTATCTGGAGTCCAACTTCCACTACACAGTCACGTAGAAAAAAGGCGCATCAAACATCGCCGACGCACTCACACGTCCTACCGCCCAAATCCACGCCATCCTACTCGCCCAAACCAACCCATTGTTAGCAGGCCTATTCACCCACAGATACAGTACCGACCCATTTTTCACGATCGGAAATTCACAGCAACTGGCAGAAGCTAAGGGATTCTATTACGTAAAAACAGGCACCAACCGCATTTGGGTACCCGCGTACTCACTACTGAGGGAACTGTTACTCCAGGAGGCATACGACGGGATTACCTCGGGCCACTTCGGGGTAGAAAAAACGCGACAGCAACTGCATCGGTATTACTACTGGCCGGAGTTGTTGACCGACGTACAGCACCACGTAGGCTCGTGTCCTACGTGTCAGGTGATGAAGAGCTCGCGAAAGAGAAAGGCGGGTCAATTGCAGCCGATTCCACCGCCCGAGCGCGCCTGGCAGCAAGTTACCATGGATTTCGTCACAAGGTTACCTTCGAACCCTGGGGGTGACGACGCGGTTATGGTCGTCATTGACAGACTGGCGAAAATGGCTCACTTCGCTGCGTGCAAGAAATCGATCTCAGCCGAAGAAACCGCTCGCCTATTCATCGCAACCGTCGTTCGACTGCACGGGATACCAGCCGTGATAATCAACGACCGCGACACGAAGTTTACCAGCAACTTCTGGAAGAACCGCTAGGAGCAGTTCGGGACCAGGCTATAATTCAGTTCATCGTACCACCCCGAGACCGACGATCAAACGGAGCGGACCAATCAGATGATGGAGCAGTTGATTCGGGCCACGTGCGACGACCCGACAACTTGGGAGCAGCAGCTGCCGCGGATCGAGTTTGCCTACAACAACGCCACGCCAGTGTCAGAATGTTATCTTATGCTCTAGCCTGTAGTGGGGTGCTCTATAGCGAGTACAACCCTTCTAGGGTTTCCTATTTGTATCCCCATTCTTGCTAGTGCAATCCTCTTCTTCCCTCTTCTTTCTTCTAAACTTTAACATGCTATCAGAGCAGGTCGATCCCCTTGGATCGATCCTGTGGGTGGGCTCACCACCTTGTTGCTTCCGCTGCAACTGTTACTGCTACTCTCTGTGCCGCACGCCCCGTGGCGTGCGGCAGTTTTTCTTCCCGCCGTGCGCCCCGAGGCGCGCGGCGGTTTTCTGCCCGCCGTGCGCCCCGAGGCGCGCGGCGGTTTTTCTGCCCGCCGTGCGCCCCGAGGCGCGCGGCGGTTCTCTGCCCGCTGTGCGCCCCGAGGCGCGCGGCGGGCTTCTGCCCCGTTGCTCGGCGCGTCGCCCTCGGGAGGCGCTGCGACGGGCGACGGGGACCCGCGCGTCGCCCCCCGTCGCCCGTCGTGGCCTGCGCGCGGCCCCTGCAGCCCCGTCGCGCCGCCCAGGGGAGCCGCGCGCGGCCCTGCTGCCCCGTCGCGCTGCCCAGGGGAGCCGTGCGCGGCCCCTGCTGCCCCGCCCCGTCCCGGACCTGCCCCGGCCCCGACCTGCCCCGGCCCAACTCCCGTCGCCCGTCGCGGCGCCCTGGGGGGATGCAGGGGGCCGCGCGTCCCCCCCCCCCCCCCCCCCCCCCTACCTCCCTACCCTGTTTTTAGGGTTTGGGGGGTGGCGGTTGGGGGGTGGCAGTTGGGGGGTGGCGGGTTTGTGTTTATCCCTTCTCCTCCTCCTCCTCCGTCTCCCTGTGCTGCAGCTGCCGCTGAGGGGGGGTGGACGTGTTGGAGCCGGTGGAGTGGTACTAAGGGGGGGTGAAGGGGGAGTGGAGCTAGCGGTGTAGCAGCGGGTGTGTGCCAGGGGGGAGTGGGATAGTTTGGGGAAGCTGAATGGAGGTTGCCGTCGTGTCGCCAGCAGCACCTGTATTCCGGGGACTTCGTCCGGTAGCCCAGTCGTAGCCAGCTGTGCCAGCCGCCCGTGGGTCCGTTGCTCGTCTGCCGCTACTTTAGCCGCGGGGCCTGTTACTCCTGTATTCCGGGGACTTCGTCCGGTAGCCGCTGTGCCAGTCTGCCTCCTGTTGCCTGTGTGTCTGCAGCTTCAGCCGTCGCCTCCTATCTCCTCTCCTCTCACTCTCTCTCCTCCTCCTCACTTGCCCGTTGTGACTACCACTAGCTTTGCTCATAATTGTGAACTTAAACTATTGCTTCTTGAACTTGTGCTCAGAATGTGTGGTGACATTGTGATCCACCCTGAGCTTGTACTCCTTTGCTTACTCTGCTGATTACACCCCACTTTGGCTATGGGGGTGTGTCAGAATGTTATCTTATGCTCTAGCCTGTAGTGGGGTGCTCTATAGCGAGTACAACCCTTCTAGGGTTTCCTATTTGTATCCCCATTCTTGCTAGTGCAATCCTCTTCTTCCCTCTTCTTTCCTCTAAACTTTAACAGCCAGCGACGACGCAGCCCTCCCCGTTTTACCTGAACTACGGGCAAAACCCAACAGTGCCCATGACGCCGAGTCCGGACAACCCAACGCCACGAGCACATCAATTCGCCGAGATTCTGCAAGCTGCCCGCACCAGAGCCGCAGAAGCAATTAAAAAAGCCAATGTAATCGCTAAACGCAACGCTGACCGCCACCGCCGCCCAGTCACGTACCAGCCAGGGGATTACGTACTGCTCGACACACAGAACTTAAGACTGCCCGTCGTACCAAAATTACGACCGCGCTACTGTGGACCATTTCAAATCAGCCACATGATCACCCCAGTTACCGCCCACTTACTGTCACAAGATCGAATTTCCACTCGAGAATGTTGCACTAAAGGTGACTACAAGGCGTATTTATGTGAAGAATTAAACAGGAATGATTGAACTAGAAATGAGGTGGGTACAAATAGAGAACACAAAAGTGTTGTACCCTCTAGGAACTACCCCACTACAGCCTATATAGGCTAAGGCATATACATTTGACACACCCCCATAGGCAAAGTGGGGGAGAACTAGGGGTCACAAGACCAGTCAAGCAAAGCAAAGCAAAGCAAGCTCAGGGTGGATCACAACGTCACCACACAGTCTGAGCACCGGTTCAAAGGCCACAAGGCCAGTTCACATGCAAGTTCATATATAAAGGTAAACAAGCAAGTGCAGGTATATATAGATCACAGTACAAGGAAAATCAAGAGGTAAGCAAGTGAGGCCAAGTAGGCACAAGACCTAGCATAGTACAGAAGCGCTGATGATCACAAGGCTGAAGTGCCTTGGTAAAGATATCAGCAGTGTTGGCCTGAGAGGCCACGTAAGCAAGGCGCAGCTGACCACGCTGCTGCAGCTCACGAGCAAGGAAGTAGCGAAGAGCAATGTGCTTCGTTCTGTGCTCCAGTCTGTGCTCCCGACACAAGGCCAGCATAGCCTTGTTGTCTACGTACAGAACTGGAGGAGAACGAGGCGGCTCTCCCAGGTCAGTCAGCAAGTAGGTGAGCCAGCGTAACTCCTGTGCAGCCATGGCCCCTGCGTAGATCTCAGCCTCACAGCTGGAGCTGAGAACAGAAGACGAGCGAGTAGACCGCCACGAAACAGAGCCGGAACCAAGGCTGAAGGTGTAACCCTGTGACGACCGCTGAGTAGCCAGGTCGTCAACCCAAGACGCGTCTGCGTGACCAGTGAGGACCACTGGACTCCGCCCTCCAAGCACTAGCCCCAAGCCCGAAGTACTGCACAAGTAGCGCAACACCCTCTTCGCTGCAGCCATGTGCTCTGGTCGGTGTCTCCTAGGAGCAACATAGCGTGCCAAGATGCTCAGAGGGTATGCTAGGTCAGGTCGAGTGCAGGTCATCAGGTACATGAGGCAGCCAACAAGCTCTGGGTACGGTCCACTCGGCTCTACGGACTCATCCGAAGGCAGAGCTGAGAGCGAGTGGCGAGTAGACAGAGGAGTGGCCTGAGGCGAGGAGTACGTGAAGTCGAAGCGCTGAAGGACCTGCTGCACCATGTGTGACTGAGTCAGAGTAATGGTGCGCCGTGCTCTGTCCCGGGT